CAGCCCCAGACGGGTTTAGGGTTTAGGATTCAGATATTTACGGTTCAGGGTTTGGGGTTTTAAGGTTTAGGGTTTAGGGCTTCCTTAGACAATAACCCCGAGCGCTGACTATGAGGATGATACGGGTGAGGGAGTTCAGTATTAGGAAGGCTGAAATGTATGCAGCTTTTGAACCTGTTTCGCTCTGATGGGTATCCTTAGTACGATGACTGATAGCATGTCTGTCCGTCAGGTACTTCACCATAGACTTTGACGCGCAGATTTTTTACTACTCGCATTCCATAGCGCAGAAGAAGGCTGGCGGTCTGCCTTACGAGGGCTTATCACTCAGTTTAGGATTTGGGGTTTGGGGCTGCAGGTTCAAGACCTTTCAGCCTCATTGCTAGAGTTGCCATGAAAACGTTTTTGTTTTGGTTTAGTTGAAGCTGAGCTTTGATTTCTTTCAGAGGTTTGAAGTTGAACATTACCCCACCAAGCCTTCCATCCTTCCGCCCGCGTCCCCAGAGTGTCGTGCTCAGATATAGCTTCACTGCTAAACTTCAATTAGGTTGGGGATTCTTGCAGTTCATGATTAGGAAGTTCTGGATCTTGTGTGGTATGCAGCTCATACCTAATAAACGGACAGCACAAACTATGGATGCACTTACGGGATTTTTCAACATGTGAGGATCCTGTAGCAGCGTAGTATCCATCCAGGTGATGTGTTGAAGTCATAAGTCCTTTTCAGAGGTCTTCCTTACAGTGGGACCTCATCGGCTTACAAGTCTCGGAAAGAAAAGAGCTACTCCATTGAATCTGGGCTTTGTTTGTTGCCCTCGGTACATGGAATCACAGGGCTGTGGTGGTTCTTGTTGCGAACAGAATGTACTTGTGGTATCCCTTGCCAAGAATTATAGGAGCTGTGGTATTTCACATCAAAGAGTGTCGGAGCTGTGAGCCTTGTCAAAGAATCTTTGACTTCGTCGAGCTCTTTCCTGTTCCATTCCGTGCAGAGCTTCCAACACCAACCGAATATTTCCTCCACCTAAAGGTTCGGAGGTTGTATTGGAAAATATGGAGCTTCTTACTAGTTCTTAGTAGGGAATAAAGGAATGCAATCCTTACATAATCCGTATAAGATAGATTCCCCTATTCCCTACTAAGAGACAGTAAGGCTTCAGGCAGATGAAGACGCAGGTAAGCCCTGCACCCTGAGACCTGAACAGCCAGGAATCCTCCACTCCTCGCCTCGGGTTTGTGTGGGTGTTTAGGGTTTAGGGGTGTGGTTTAGGGTTTAGGGTTTAGGTTTAGGGTTTAGGGGTGTTGGGTTTAGGGGTGTTGGGTTTAGGGATTTAGGGTTTAAGGGTTTAGGGTTTAGGGTTAGGGTTTAGCGGGTTTAGGGTTCACGATTTAGGGTTTAGTGTTGGGCTTACTTGTGGTTCGTTGGGAAGAAAGGAATGGAAAAGAGCATGGAAGCTACTATCATGGGTTATATAGGTTTTGGGTTTAGACGGAAGTTCTTATTATGATGGGTTCTGTACTGTAGGGACTGCTAAAAGGAGCCATTCCCTCGAGGGTCATGGCGACGTAGGAAGTAGGTTCATAATTAGGATAACTAGGTTATTATGTGGGTTATAGGGGTTATTGACTTACCACTGGCCCTCCAAGTAGGTACACGTAGGAATTACTTAATATCCCAAAGCGATAGATATGGCTAGAAATACCATAAAAGCCTGTCAGGGTCATCTTGAGTTCTGTCTAAGGGAACAGTACACCCTAAGCCTGTGTTGGCTCCGAAATGACAGCAGGTATCGCAGCCGATTCATTTTCGAGACTTCCTGGGCACTGGCCTTGCAAATGCAAGGGATGTGTTTTTTTCCGGGCTTGGGTGCGCTCACAGTCAGGATGCCATACCGTTTATAATCCTGTGGATGCGCAGGAAGCAGGAAGGATTCTTGGGGTCTTGCTTCTGAGGGTCGAGACAGCTATCATTTGATGAGGTTGCCGCACAGGATTTGTTGGGTTCAGTGCGTTGTGTGATGCGATTTGGAGTTCACCGCCTGGACTTCAGGGTCACGTTGAGAGTTAACTTGGATGGTCAAGGGGGACTTTGTAAGTAGGTTAGCAACCCCTATAACCCAGTAACCCTAGTTATCCTAACTATTGACCTACTTACTAAGTCCCTAAGATCCTCCGAGTAGGGTTTGTGGGCACATGCTTAGAGTTTCAAAGCTTAGGAGCGTCTTTTTTGAGTTGGATGGCTTTGACAAGGAGAGTTCGACAACATTATTTTTGCAATGCCAGCAGGAGAAGTGTAGTAGAAAACCCTAAGCCTTTTGCGAGAGGTGCCAAGGAGAACCTTGGAGCTATGACTGCTTGTTATAGACAAGGCTTGCAGAATCCTTAAGAGGGGCCCTGCCTAAACTCCCTGCACATCGTTGGAATTCACGTGGGTACTGCTAGCTGCTAGATAGTTAGAGCTTCGCTGCAGGGTCTCCCTCGGTCGCATGACAGCAAGTGGATGAAGGACATTACTTGAAATACTCTTGGGCATCCACTCCCGACCAATAAAACAGAAGCTTGCAAAGCATGTTGCGTCCTGATCTTGCACTGCAAATTGGATGCTGGGCAACATACACTCCCGGAAACTAACATGGAAACCCAAAAAGGCCCTTTAAAAGGGGATTACATGGGTTTCCATGTTAGTTTGGGGGAGTGTAGAAGGTTTACAGCCCAGGGTTTCCTAAGATCTTCATCTCTTAGTGTTCAGATGTTACCCAGAGGCTCCATGTACCCAATAGTTAGGTACTTGGGTTTGGGGTAATAGTGTTTATAGTACAGGTTTTGGGTAAGTATATGATTATTAGGTACTTGGACCCTTAGGGTTAGGCGACTTGAAGATTTCTGATGTCTCCTGGGAGGGTTCTCCTCAAAGTGCTGGTTGGTTCTTTGGCGGTTGCTGTAAGTAGCTTTGCCCCTGTCAAAGCAGAAGCGAGAAAGGCCGTTGCATTGTAAGGACATTTCTAACCAACCGGTCCTTCCTGGGGAAAGGTTATCCCTAAATGAGGGGGCCCCAATGCAGACCCCAGAATATTACCCTACCTTCGCTGGCTAATATGGTACCTGCGCTAAATAGGGGGACTCCCATAATGGAATATAAACCCTAAACTAAAATTGTCCTTACTATTGGAGCTCCCAAAATGGTAGACCTAATTTTGGGAAACCCGAAACCCTAGACCCTAAGTATGTGCCCAGGAGCAGAGAGGCGCGGTGCCTCAGAGCTTGCGTAAAGTGTTTCTACCCACAGCCAGGGTCCAGGTAGTAGGGTTTAGGGCCACAGAAGGTTGCTTTGTCTTTGGTCCCTACTTGGAGGGTCAGGGGGACTCGGTAAGCAGGTCAAGAACCTCTATAACCCATAGAGTAACCCTAGTTATCCTAAGACGGCTGCCGCGATTGCCATACCGTCTGATTGCAAGTTGGTATTGTTCTTGCAAAGTTAATGCATGGTTTAGCCACCGTTCCCTGGGGCTCTCAGCTACCTAAATACGAGGTTATCGGGCTATGTGGCTATGGGGTATATAGACCCCAGAAGCCATGATTTGCAAGATCGCGCTGGCCGCGGGCTTCATTTCTCAGAAGCTCAGAACCCCAAACGCTAGGCTGCTGGACCTTGAGCCTCAACAGTCGTGGAGGCATGTCCATGCCAAGGAGAGTTGGAAGCCCTACTGAACATTGGCATGCGGATTCTGTGTTGCAACGCGGTATTAAATGTCCAAGTCAAATGGCGAGTCCTCCTTGTTCAGGTACAGTTCCCTAAGGGTCCAAGTACCTAAGAGTCATAAACTTACCCAAAACCTGCACTATAAT